CTTACATTTCTTGCTATCTAATCTGTGCTACATAGTTAAATCCAACAAAAAAATCTGTATCTGTTTTGCAAAGATAGAGGCAACATTATATTTAAAGACATTAGATACTCAAGGGGCCTTTCTAGAACTGCACGTAAAAACATTCCAAAATCAGCAAAATTTAGAACAGCAATTTTCTATTTTTTTCACCTCATGGCACATGTCAATTACTAAAATTCTGTGGCACAACTAAAATATATTTTTGCTGATCTGGCAAAATAGGTATTATTTTGATTCATTATTTTGATTCACACAGGACAGTATTGTTGTTTTGGCTGTTCTCATTTTCTTTTACTTGACAATTTAAAAGAAGAGGTCAGTGCCCCTGACTAAACAGTCAGGTATTGCATGCTTTGAAAATTCTTTCAGAGAACAAGGGGACAGTGACCAGAGGGGAGAAGGAAGGGAAGTTAAGGGGAAAAAGGGGGAGGGATTTGGAGGAACAAATAGGAAGGACACAGGGATGAGAACTAAGGGGGGTGGAAATGGGAAGGAGGTGGGGAGCAAGGGGCGGGGGAGGCTGGGATGGGAAAAATAGACAAAAAACTGTACTTGAAAAATAACTAAATAAAATTAATTATAAGAAAAAAAAGAAAAAGAAAATTCTTTCAGCATGTCAATTGAAAATTGCTGATTTAGAACAAAAATCTTAATGATCAGATTTTTAGGAAATGCCTTTTAATATTTAGTGTTGCTCTTGCAGTATTTACAACCAAGGCTTTAAAACAAAATGCAAATACCCTAGCCTTTTTCAGAAGTTTGTACATTTGCAGGGGTGTCCTAAACGTCCCTCCTCCCACAGCGTACAGCTATCCATGGGCAATTCGTTCTGAGAGACATCTAGAAGCTAGTCACATGACTTCCACACATCCCGTGACTATGCCCGTACTGAAGTAGGCAGAAAAGGCTGAGACACGCTCTTGGCATAAAGTCTAGCTCTGGCCCAGTGCCAACCAACTGAGAAGGAACCCTCAACTCTCGACTTAGTCTTGCATCACAGCTTTTAAGACTCTCATCTGAGGGATGGCCTCCCAGAACGCCTAGTTCAGAAAGCCAGCCGGGCTTGTGCCTGTGAGACACACACGAACAGAGCAAACAGAGCAGCAGTTCCCATCCGCGGTTGAGGTTGAGCGCTCACCACAACTCTCTCCACAGCTCAGCCCTCAGGGAGCAGGCAAAAACACCCGTCTCCTAGTTTGTCCCTGGAAGAGGCTTCATTTTCCCAGCTGCTGCCTGAGGATCCAACTTATCATCAGCCTGCGTTTAGGTGCTGACAGTTCTCCTCTTTGGGACACAGAGGGCTTGGTGCTGGCACACCCTCAATACCTGGGGCCTCTAAGGACAAAGATGGCAGCTTGGACAAGCATAAAAGTTTTGAGAGACAGCCCAGGAGCTCAGACTGGGCTGCCTGATGAAGTTTATTTCCTACAGGATACCAGTCTGTCCAGGCTGGAGAGATGGCTGCTGCATCTAAGGCGCAGGCACCAACAGAGTGAAGGAAAATGAAGCAATGGAGGAATGTGTTCCAAATGAAAGAACAAGATAAATCTCCAGAAACATACCTTAATGAAACAGAGATAAGTGGTTTACTTGATAGAGTTCAAAATAATGGTCATAAACATGCTCACCAAGGTCAGAGGAGCAATGCATGAACACAGTGAGGTGTTTAATAGACATAGAAGATATATAAATAAGCACCAAACAGAAATCACAGTTGAAGGAATTCATCACCACTAGCCCAGCCTCACAAATGTGAAAGGGGGGTTTTCAAGCTGAAACGAAAGCTGCTAATCAATTATTTAGTAACATGAAAACATGTGACTGTATCAAATTCATTGATAAAGTTAAATTCATAATAGTCTTATACTCATAATTTTAATATAAAAAGACAAAAGAATGAAAACTAAAAAAATTTAATGGATGCTCAATTAAGAAAGATGTAAATTGTAACATCAAAATCATAAAATGCAGTAAGGGTGCAACACTGTAGGGCTTTTGTGGGTCCATCTGAAGGGAATGAAATCGCTGGAAATGATGCATTCTCCACGTGCACCGCAGGGCCCTCACGACGGCAGAGCATGGAGACAAGTGTGGCACCGAACAAATGGATAAAGATGTGAGATATATACGACACACACACACACTGGATTTATTATTCAGCAATGAGAAAAACAAGAAATCCTGCCATTTGCAATATGGATAGACCTTATGGTAATTATTACATGAGGTGAAATAAGCAGAAGACAAATACTGTGTGTCATTTGCATGTGTGGTGTAAAAAAATGACTTGTAGGAACAAAGACTAGAATGGTGGTTTCCAGGGTCTGGGGTGGTGGTGGGGAAATGGGGAGATACTGATCAGAGGGTACAAGCTTCGTCATAAAACTGGTAAGTTCAGGGGACCTTATGTCCATCATGGTAACTAGAGTTAACAATAGCATATTACATCCCTCAAAGCTGCTAAACTGTTTTCACCAAAAGAAAGAGATGGTAATTATGTCATGGGGTGGATGTTTTAGCTAACGTTATGATGGTAATAAGTTTGTAATGTGTATCAAATCAATACATGCTCACCTTAAACTTATACAATGTTATGTGTCAGTTACAACACAGCTGGGAAAAAGGATTTCATACGATTTTAGTGTACCTCTAAGCTAAAAAAAAAAAAACTTAATTGGCACCACTGCATATTCCCAAATCCCTAATCCAATGAAGTAAGATGGACATTATGAAATGGTTATCTTTACTTTTTGACTGCCCCCCCTATTATATTTCACATAACTCTCCTGGTGGCTGGATGTCCAGAAGTCAGTTATCCATTTATCTGCTGGATGTCCACTTTATTAACAAGACATTAACTCTGTACACTTAGCTGCACTCATGATGTGGGTGTACAAATACGTGTGTGTCTCAGTGAGTCATTTTTGGGCCAGCAGCACCAGCATCCCCTGGAAACTTAGAAATGTAGTTTCTGCCCACCCCAGACGTACTGAATCAAAAACCTGGGGCTGGGGCCCAACGATATGGATCTAATAAGCCCTCCGGAGGACCCTGGTGCACACTAAGTTTTCAAATCACTGACTTAAATCATCAGTACTCAGTAATGAAGTGAACTCCATTGAGAGAAAAGTAACTGTATCTAGGTTAGCGTTAACTGGATGCTGGTGTGTGAGACCCATCCACAAGGCAACTGCAGGGGCAGCTGCGTGGTCGCACAGGGCCTGGGCAGTGCACACCCCCAGCCTGAGTGGAATGGGAAGGGACATGGAGACTGGCTGGGCCCCAAGGTGGAGACGGTTCTGGTGACAGTGACGAGTGGAGACCAGCCCCTACCGAATCTGGTCTGTGTGCATTTTGTGTCCTTTTGATCAAACTTGACTGGTTGTATGGGGGTGACCACCGCAAGGGCTGTCTGCAAAGACAAGTTCAGTGAGGTGCCAACCAGGGCATGTTTTCTTCCACAGACCACGAGTCACAATCAGCTGGAAGCCAGTGACCGCAATGTCACAGCCAGCACCATTAACGTCAGGCCAAAGGATCACAGTAGGAAACACTTTTATTCTTTAAAAACAATTGTTTTAAGAAAAAAGAATCGAAACTGTACTTGGTAATCACACTGGCCACTATCGGAATAGTACATGCTATTAGGAAAAAGCAGTTTCTTTTTTTTTCTGAGATGCTCCTCGCTGGAAGATCTGCATCTATTCTATAATGGTGTGAACAATACATGTAATGAGTGTTTGGTGAGCCAGACTCGTGACAAGAGCCTTGGCTTACTTTAAACACTTTTCTTGGCTGCAGCAGATAACCAAATAATTTAATTATATTTTTTCAGAGCTTAGAAAGCCTAATCACCTAATCATGCCAGAGCTCAACAAACCAGCATTAATAATCACCAGAAAAGGCACTTTAAAATACATGGGACAAGAAGTGACACTAATGCAGTCCCCGGTCTGAGCCCTGCACTAAACTTTGTCAGAGTTCCTTGAGACGGTGCATTCTGGCTCCACATATGTGTATATATATAAATATATATGTATGTGTATATACTGACATCCATATACAGCAAATCCTCAAGTAACATCAGTTCATTCACTATCGCTTCATTACTACACTGATGAGGTGCCATAAGAACTTAACTCCCGTTTGTACGTGTGAACTAGCCCATGGTAAAACTGGTTTCGGTATATGTCATTTTGCTTAAAGTCACAGAATCTACAGACGACGTTCAATGAGGACTTACCATACATATATATGTGTATACATCTATCTCTGTAAGTCTCTGGGGAGTTAAAAACCATGTTTCCTTTCATTGACTAGTACATCAAAATTCTAGTCACTGTATTTGGAGCAAAGAATGAAGAGATTGCTAACTTAATGCAAAAAAGTACTGTACTAGACCTTTCTATCAACAACTAAAAAAGGAATAAAATAAATACTTTACTTTCCTAGATCATCAACTATTAAAATAAGAAAATCTGGCATTTTAAAAAAGTTTATTCCACTGTAGGGAACAGGCCACTGTACCAAACATGTACCAAAACAGGACATTTTTTTGGTACTGTAAATCTAACACTCACACATCTGTATTGCTTAGGTTTCAGAGAGTGGAATGAACAAGGAAATTTCTTCCACAAATTCTTTCCTTTAAGTACCCACCAAGTTTTAGCTATGTTGTGTTATTCCACTTAGCTTAACACACAGTCTTGTATAAATATATTTTTAGGATGTCTAAATTCTCCATACCTGTACAGAGTACTAAAAGTACTTGCAGCAATGTTGTGAAATAAACAGAATTGGCCATAGCTCAGTCCACCGCACACCCCAGGTTTGGGTATTTTGGCTCAAGGTTTTGACAGACCAAACCCATCTGTGTCAGAGGTGAACAAAAGACTTACTTATTTTTCCCAGGAACGGGTGTACAAACATGATCTCATGTTAGAATATGAAAAACTGATTAGTAATGACATCTAAAATTTAATTACTAACTGTACAATGCCTGAGAACAAATATCAAAGCAACTTTTGAAAGGTTAAGAGTCAGACTCCAGGTATTTGCATTTTTTAGCTGCTGGCTCTTCGGTCTCGTGTGACTCTAAAGTGCTCGAGTTGGATTTGAGACTGGGGTCTGCTTTAAGGTTTTCCATGGCAACAGTGAAGCCTGAGAGAAGGTACCCCCCACCTCCACTCATCAGTAGTTTGGGATGGCTTCGATCTGGCAAAACCTGAAGAAGACAGAAAGACAGACACTCATGTTTTCCCAAGCAGGTAAAGAACATGCTAACAATACACATGCCAGAAATCAGAATTTAAATGACACAGATTCTCTTGAAGATTTAAACAGACCAGTTTTTAAGGAGCTCCTTCCTTCAAATGATAGTGCTGATAAAAAGTAGATAAATTGGTTTAAGTGATTTTCTTCTGAAAAACGAAACAGAAGCTGTTTCTCTTAAACCTGACACAACTGTTCGGTGGCAAATGAGCAAATGGCCTGCGTAGTGCTCTGGGCCTGTGAGTGGCTTTCTTGCCCTTGGCTACAGGTGCTTCATGGCCGACAGCGGAGCTTGGGTCCAAGGAGACGTAGCCGCTGGACATGCACTCACAGCCTCCCTTTCCTAATGCCCTGCTGAACTCCGGCAAGGCTTCTCTCCGGCTACCTGGCTAAATGAGATGGCTGCCATGGAGGGCAGGATGGCTCAGGGATGGAGTGTCCTGTGTTATGCAAGGAGTCCAAGCTTCAGGGCAGGGCCTGTGGCAGCACGGAGGTGCCCCCTCAGATCTCTCTTCAAGAGGGAACTGGCTGTGAGGATTTCGAGCAGCAGAAGGCCTCTAGCAGCTGCCCCAGCATTCACTCCCCGGGAGGCTACGGGCTGGCTCCAAGTTGATAATAGGGTATGGCCACCAGGGCTGCACCACTTCTGGCCAATACAGCGCTCCTGTCCTGGGAAGCCTTTGCTCTGGGGCTCCGCTCCGCATGATCCTGGCTGCGACCTTCTCCCTCCCCTACCCACTCTGTCCCCTTTCACAGCCACCAGACCTGCACCAGGGTCTGCCGGCTCTCCAGTGCCTGCCTAGTCCTGCTCCCTCCCTGCTTATCTTTCAAAGGCATTTCCCCTGATAAATCTATTACACTTCTAATTCCACTTGACAAATGCCTTCCTGAACTGACCTGAACTGACACAGAGCCCTCGGATAGTGAAAACTTGCTGCAAAGACACCTCAGCAGACAGGAGAGGGTCACTTTCTTGGCTTGGGGATTTTGCAATTATTAGTCATCCCCCCACAGTGATCTGGACGCCATGAGTAAACACAACCTCAACAGTTTACATTATAAATGTCTCTGGATTGGAGTTACAGAATAATAGATCCTGACATAAAAAGAGGAAAAAAGGGCCAGAACAGACAGATCAGGGCGCTTTCTCTGAGTTATAGGCACGAGGCTGTTTCATCTCTGTAAACAGAAACAGGGATATCTGTATTTAACAACTTCGAGCAGTAGTGCGAGGAGCCAGAGACTCGGGCAAGCAGCTCCTGAGCCTGGCTGTAAGAACGCGTACCTGGTAATTCCTGAGCCAGGTTTCAGACAGTCGGAGGTTGATGACCCCTCCTCTCTCCCGCAGTTTTGTGTAGCATTCCAGCAGAGGCTGAAGGCATAAAGAAAGTTCTGTTAAGAACTAGTGCTCGGGATAGAATTTGAGAATCAATGCTTGAATGCAAGAGTTCCCCTCCACTCCATTTTAGCATTACCTCTTTATACTGACAGTAGACCACAAATGGCCTTGAAGGGGCCACAAAATCCAGCAAAGACAGCAGCAGTGGAGTGGGATGGAAACGACTGGCTACAATTAAACTGCAAGAAAGATGTCGGAGATGTTATTCTCTTTGATCCCAAAATGGAACATAGGTTTTAAAATACACTTACAATGATCATGCATTTATTTGCATGACTTTTACACAAGGAAGAGCTTTAAATACAACATTCCAAAATTTCCAGATAAAATCATGAGCTACTAATTTCTAGGAAACACAAGCTGAATTATAAGCTCTCAAGGTGCTTGGCAACTCTAAGTGGCATTTAACATTCTTGATTTAAGAAAATCACCTGGAGTACACTTGGAACCTGTATAAATTTACTAACCAATGCCACCCCAGTGGCATTTCAATTAAAAAATCATTTGGAAACAAATCCAGCCTTGATGCTGGCTTTGCACCTCAATCTCTCTCTCCTTGTCAGGTCTCCTTAGCCCTCACATCAGTTTCACACCAATCTGAATGCCCCCCCCCCCCATCTGCACATAGGCAGGACTACACAGCCCTGGCTGATGCACCATCATTGAAGAAATTTCTTTCGAGACTCCGAAACCAGAACAATTTCCCTCTACCAGACGCAACCTCCTTTCTTAAAAAACCCAAGACAGAATCATTGTCTCTGCTCCCGTAGAACCAAAGCAGACAAGCAGAGAATGCTAATCTGTTTGAAGCAGAGCCCATGAACAGCAAGATGTTACCGCATCCTTTCATCAACGCACCCATCTGCGTTCCTTTCACTCAGCAGAGCAGCAGCCTCTAAATGTCTTTTCCTCTGCTCTTCTTGTCTCCTCTGCTTTTCCTGACTCTTCAAGAAAAATAAGAAAGCAAAGTACTAAGGTCATTCAGACATGCTTATGGAAACATTAGTCTGTCAAAACATTTTAACAATATTTATCAACTCGGACTAAAGCAGCAGCAGGTCATTTATAAGGAAGTGGAAAACATAAGAAAGCCCATATGTTATAAAATGATCATTATGCTACCTCTATACAGTGTTTCTGTATCATAAAACTGTATCCCACAGATTATATCACACATGTGTGTGCGCCCCCCAACACACTCTTTCTCCATCTGTTTTAATATTTATTATTTTGGCTGCAAAGCCAAATCAAATCTCAGTGCTTAAATGGAATTAACTTAGGCCCTGAGGGGAGTATTATGAGGGCAGGGGGGACCCTTTAACATCCTTACATAATCCCTTTTGCTTCCTCTCTCTTTAGGCTCCTTATAGGCTGGATCTGGAGAGATAATTTGCACTGTTTCCTGTTCTTTGGGGTGGTTGCACTCTGGGGCCTCCGCCGTGCTGTCCTCATTCTCCTGCTCTGAAGTCTGTTTTTCCTCCAGTGTGTCATTACTCTCTTCAACTGAAGCACTGTCTTTTGGCTCCGAAGACAACATCTCGGCAGAGAATGTTCCATTTAAAAGACTGCCCACTTTGTTGAGGGGGAATTCATAAAGACCACTGAGGAAAGATTTGGGAAATCCAAAACATGCTGTGGCTGCCCGAACTGGTCCACCTCCAGGGTACAGCTGAATAATGGAACCAAACCCTAAACAGAGAAAACAAACATCTCTTGATGAAGATGACTCCAGATTTTGCAAATCCTCAGGGTCCCCCACAGTAAGAAGACTGAAGATCTTCCTACTTGACTGTTCAGCTGCTGACAGATGAGATGCTGCAGCTCCTCTGGGAGTTTGAAATCTATGAATATCCCCAATGGATGTAACGTAATTCCAAAACAGGTAAACAGAAAGTCTTGAATAAGCTTACTCCCACCTGACCCTACAGTAAAACTGTGAGCTTGCAAATTTGGATGTCACATGATTGGTGACTGTTTCTCAGCTTTCCCCCAGTCCAGTAACATTACTTTCAAATAAGGCAGTTAAAAGTTCTTCTCTTCTCTGCGGTCACAGAAAGGGCAAGTGAATCAGGTTGTCCTGTATCTTCCAACAGAGAATACGTTCCTAATATTTTCCCCACTCAATTAAAGCCAATAAAATGAGCAACAGCTATACCAGAGTTTCTTGATATCATTGCCCTGGAGGTCTTAGCCAGCCACAGTGTTGAGAACCACCCCCACTGCTACTGAAGCAGGAAGGGCAACCGCTGTCCGGGGTCTCCAACACAGCACAGGCTGGGGGATGTGCCCCAGTCACTTCAATGACCTCACAGTAATTCAACCTCACTTTCCATGAGATGGAAATTTTAATTTTTTTAGATTCCTTTACTCAAAACATGAACTCGAAAATGTTAGAACTTACCTCCCATTCGTTCCATCATTGCACCCAGCACTAAGCCTGCACACGTTTCCATCACTATCATTTTATTGCCAGCACGAATATTCCCCAATGTCAACATCTGGGCTAGGGTATCATATCTCATGTGGCTATGAAAAAAAAGAACGGTTCATTCATTTTTGGCAAGGCAAGGCCTGTAATTTTAATCATCATTTTTCAAGTTTTGTCACATTAAAAAGCATGTTGGTAAGATTATCGATTGCTTTGGCGGCAATGGTAAAAAGAACTTACAATTTTATGGGGTAGGAGAATACTTTATGCAGGCGAGCACGTTTTTGTTTTACTTAAAATCATGATTTTCTTAAAGATAAGTTCTCCCCCAATTATACTTTTGAAAGGAAACAAAGCGTACTTAATTTTTCCAGGTTCCCTGGCATAATACATAATCGAAAGAATGCGGGTGGATGGCTTCACAACAGTAATGATGGCTTCGTATCTGGGGGAAGAAGAAAACAGAACACCGATTTTTAAATACCAGTTTAAAAATATTTTATTTTTAATAATTTTTTTTTAGTTTACAAGAAGATTTAATGTTTCTATCTTTTTCAAGCAAACTTACTTCTTTTTCTTCTTTTTTATATATTTATCTTGAGCAAATTCTGTCTTGTCTCGGAATGTTGTGCTATTTTCAATTAATTGCTGAACTATTTCCTATAAGAAAAGGAGCAGATTTCCTGAAATTTTATTTTCACAGAACACATCACTTTAAAGGTTTCTTACCCCAGAATGCATCCAAAGGTCTGATTCTCCAGTTCCTTAGTTCCTTTTCCACAGAAGTCTAAACGGATGAATTCTGTAGTTTCTTACTCTATCTAGAATTTTTATTAAAATACAAGTACTTTATAACTTTATTTAAACTAAAATAAAAGGGATATACAATAAAAAAAGGAGAGAGGTAAAGGAAACTTTATTCTTGAAGTCACTGGCTGAAAACATTACTGAAAATAAAGTTAAGCTCTAATATGCAGTTATTAATTTCTTTTGCTAAAAATATTAGTAATCTCATTCACTTACATTCCTACACATAAGAAATGAAAGTTCTGACATAGTGAATTGCATGTACATTCCAAGCTATTTCTAATAAGTATACAGTATTTTTACATTTTACCTTGGGTGAAATCTGCTTTAAAAACCAAGCATTTCCCTAAATACCAAACGAAAACAAAACACAATATCCTTTTAATATTACCTCTCCTTTAATGCCCTTGTCCTTTAAAGCTTTTATGTCATCTTGAGTAAGTTTCTGAGATTTCCCATCATCAACTATATTTCGATTATCAGTGCCCGCTTCTTTGGTCTCTAAGGAAGGAAATTGCTTTATGACATTTATGATCTGAAATTATTTAAAAAGTCTTCCTTCTTCTAAGTTCATATCCACTTCCAGCCCATCAGCCACTCAAATTTGGCCTTCCAGTTCCACTGGAATATACATGCAAATTTGGACTTTCAGTTCCACCCAGCCTACTACCCTTTCTTGCCACTGCTCTAAGTCTCTAACTCCTCTTCCCACTCCCACTTTGCCCCCTTATGATCCACCTGGAAGTCAGAGTTATCTTTAAAATGTGAATCGGCTCATCTATTCTGATGGACCAAACCACAAAGAGTCTTCCAGTAGCAATTAGAATACAATGCAAAGATGATCTGCACTGGCCCTTGGCTACCTTTCTCTGGCCTCGTTTCTTGACCCCCATTCTCATTGCCCTTGTTTCTGTTCTAAGTCCCTAATAACAAAGCCACCACAGGGCTTTGGTATTTGCTGCTCCCTCTGTCTGCAATACTCTTAAGACAATGTGAGTGGCTGCATCCTTTCCATCAATCAGGGCTGAGCTCATCACCGCAGCCAGGTCTCACTTCAGCCTCCAGTATACCTCCCTGCTTTGTCATCTTCATAGCACACAACACCATCTGAAATTATGCTGCTTGCTACTCTATTAGATTACTTTTGGTATTCTCCACTAATACTTTAAAAAATATTTATTTATTTTTAGAGGGGAAGGGAAGGATAAAGACAAGGAGAGGAAACGTTGATGTGCGAGAGAAACATTGATTGGTAGTCTCTGGCACTCCCCCAACTGGGGACATGGCTCGCAACCCACCAGGAATCAAACCAGCACCTTTTGGTTCACAGGTTGGTGCTCAGTCCTCTCAGCTGTGCCATTCAGGGCTCCACTAATACATTTTATTAGATGATCCATTTCATGAACTGCTATAATCGCAATGACTAATCATGCCTGAAACATATTTGGTACTTCACAAAAATATGGATGTTAATTTAAAAGTATTTAACTAACTTTAATATTATTTTAATTATTTAATTTTTATAATTATTTAAGGTATTTATTTTACTAATAAAATATATTAAGTACATTTACTTTAATAATTAAGTACTTAATTTTAATTAATAATAACAGCTAAAATTATGACAGCTTTACTGTAAGTAAGGCACTATTAAGAACCTTCTATGTATCCCTATGACTCACTATGGCCTACGCGTTAAATGTTTACTGCCTCAGTTTACAGATGAGGATGTAAGATTTAGAGAATAACTTGTCCAAGGTTACAAGGCAAGTAATGGAGCTGAAACTTACACCTGGTCAACTGAATTCAAACCCAGACGTCTTAACCTTCTCCCAGTATGTTCACTACCTCAAAGCTGTTCCTCAACTTCTGGGCACTGAAAGGTCTCTGCACCTGCTCTTACACTGAAGCAGAAAGGACTCATGGGATTAAATGCCTGGCCCAAGGTCAGAGAGCCAGTGAATGACCAGCTGGAGCCAGATCCAAGTATCTCAAAGCCAGAGGCACACCTTGTTTCATTGCACCAAAGTATAGTTCTTAGATTCTGAGTTTAGCTGTCTTTAGACATAGCCTGGGTTGGCACTTTCGAATTAATTAGGGTTGACAGGTTTCTGAGTAGCCGGAGCAAGAGCACCTATTACATACACCCAAAGTAGTGCACCTGAAGGAGGCTCTTCCTTTTTCTTCATAGGCTGGAGACTTCCTCCACTGGTCACTTCAAATGTGGTTCCGTAACTATGGCCAATGACGTTATCCAGATAGAACCACTGTTTTTCAAAGGTTACTTTTCTGGGGAAGAAAATACAGTCAATTAGTCAATTCTCACTTGCATTCAGTTTAGAAAAAAAATGTTCATTCTAGTTTATTTCAAATCTGGTCTATACAAAGGATGATCTACAGCATTATCTCTGAACATGAAATGACAAATGGACTAGAGAGAATTGGGTTGGGGCAGGGACATAACAGTAATAAAGAAGCCACAAAAAACTGAATTTGGAATGAGAAACAAGGACAAGACATCCCGCCTCCGAGGCATAGGTCTGACTCCAGTTAGCACTATCTGATAGGATGTCCAAGTTCACAGGCTCTGCAGACTCTGAAACAGCATAAAGGGTGGCTAAGACTGCCAGGCCACTAGACACACTGATACCCCTTGTAACTTACATAAGAAAATCTCAAAACTGAACGATCTTTGAGATGGCAGGGATTTAACAAATTCCCTAGCTTAAATGGCCGTTTTCTTGGGAAATTACCTAGTAAAAGCAAATTACATTTACAAATATACATTACTGACAATATACACATTTGGAAGTGGCGCCTAACACTGATGATGCTCTGCTGAGCACCAGGTGACTTCAGCTTTTCCCATCACCCGGATTGGTTGTTTTTTTTTTTTTTGGCAGTGAGAATAACATTTATTGAGAATGGCTTATTACAAACAAAATCCCATTACCCAGATTTTTATCTAATTATAATTTTAAAGTGAAATCCCACAAAAAAATAGAACCTTCCCTTCCTTAAGAAGAAAACTAATGTCCACTGAGTGCCAGTCAGGGGCTAGGCAGTATCTGCCAGATATTTCACACTTTTTAAATTCTCACAGTAAGTAATTCTGGGGCACAGGTCTTTCCAGAACAGCAATCTGAGGTTTAAGGAAAAGTCCAAGGTTCAGTTAAAAAGTGGGAGCTGGGATTCAAATCCAAGTCTGCCTGTACTCCAAACCTTGTTCTTTCTACTATACCACACAGCCATGACCAATGGATCTCAGAAGTCCTGCCCAGTTCCAGGATGTGGCTCACACCGATGGAACTCTGACTCCTGGAGGGCACATCTGGTTAATTTTCTTTGTGCCCCACCCCACACCTTCTCTTCCTTTCTCTGTTCCTGTGGAGGGTGATCATGACGGAATGCAAAGGGCAGATCACTGAGTGCATCACCAGTCCCTACTAGTTCCCTAAGCCTTGCCACCCCTCTGTATGTTTATGTGTATGTGTCACTTCATTAAGTCGCCTCACTTGAATCATCTGAGTGAATTTCTGCAAGATCCTAAACTATACCGATAGAGCCAACTCTCTTCTCTATTGGGTCTTAAGTTCCTAACAAATGGCACTCAACATATTTGCTAACATAAACCCTCACAGAGAAGTTGAAACTCAGCTCAGCCTTGATGCACACCTCCTCCCCATTCTTTGAGGACCCAGTGCTAATGAAATACTTGGTCTTTGCTGGGGTAGAGTTTATCCCTCTGGCAGCTGGTTTGATGTGCAAAGGAGGGTGTGTCGCTCAATCTCATTGGCCTGTTGGAAGGTCACTGCCCTAGTCAGAAAAGTGGGGTCCAGTCAGAGGGATGTGGAGCCAAGTCTTCACTGGGAAAGAGTGGGATTTGCAGTCTCCTAGATACCTAGGACTGCTTCTGGCCAACCAGATGAGTGTAGCCCTAAGGGAAGGGAAAATGTGGCCTGGGATGTAGCTGACTTCAGAGGGTCATTTTCTAAATGTAAACTAATGTTGTGGCTTCTGCCCAGGAAAGTGATAAAAAGAGTTTCCAAATTTTTAGAAACTCTAAAGAGTACTTTTTAGAAACAGATATTGCTCACTGCCTACTTAGTAATGAAAAAGTTCTTCCCTAATCACATTTTTAAGAAGCACATGCAAACCACATTTTAAAATCAGTTAAAAGTTAAAAAAAAAAACAAGGAAAAAAGAAAAAACAAAGTTTCCCCTGCACAGTCATTATACAGTTGCATAACTTGGAGTTCATTGAACTTACAACCTAACAATGTTATATTCAACTAAAAAATCTAAATAGTTATTACTGGCACTTTCCAAAACTTATGTACTTGGGACCAAGCACACATTCCTAACCAGTCTAAAAATAAAAAAAGGCCCTGACTGGTGTGGCTCGGTAGATTGAGCGCGGGCCTGGGAATCAAGCAACCACAGTTCGATTCCCAGTCAGGGCACATGCCTAGGTTGCAGGCCAGTTCCCAGCAGGGGGCACACAAGAGGCAACCATACATTGATATTTCTCTCCCTCTCTCCTTCCCTTCCCCTCTAAAGATAAATAGGTAAAATCTTAAATAAATAAATAAATAAATAAATAAATAAATAAAGTAAGTAAGTAAGTAAGTAAGTAAGTACTGGTTTCAAGAATACAAAATACAGCCCTGGCCAGTGTGCCTCAGTGGTTGGTGTCATTCTGTAAACCAAGAAGCTGCAGGTTCAACTCCTGGTCAGGGCACATGCCTGGTTTTCAGGTTTGGTTCCCAAACAGGTGCATACAAGGGGCAACCCAGTCAATGTTTCTCTCCCTCCTTCTCCCTCCCTCCCTCTCTCTCTAAAAAAATAAAAAGAATACAAAATGCCATAATGATGAAGGATATACTATAAATTTTCTCTCATTTCAACCACCAAAATGAAGATTTTATCAATGGAGAATTTTAAAAGGCTTAAAAGCTGGTGCAGATATTACTGAACTGAACTCATTTACTGAACTTTAGTTCATTTCTGAACTAAAAGAAATCCCTCCCCCCTTGTATTTTTTTTCTTTAGTGGATTGGTGCTGTGCACAAAAGCTTGGTTGTCATAATTTGAAGCAAAATGAATCTGCTGAACTGAGCACTTAGCAGAAATCCCAAGTCTCACAACACCTAGAGTTATGGTCTGCTAGCTGTTTTCCTGACACTGCATTGAACTTACTTTTTTGTCCAAAACACTATAATAACCCACCTCAAAAGAAAGTCTGGTTGTACTTTTCAGATAATCGAAACATCCCAATATATTTTCACCATTAATATGCAACTGGGACTAAGCTTCACCACGTCTGCTAAAAATTAACAAAATTCCCACTTTCCTAATACTCAATCAGTGAAAATTAATCAGCAGATTCACAAACCAAACCTAATTTCAAGTTCTGAGAACTTAAGCAAACTGCTTCTAGGCAATTTAACTTTTCAAAAATTCCCATCATCTGGTGTAAAATTGGGAATCCTACAGTGACCACACATTCCACGGGAAGTTATTCAGTGTAGACAAGTAGTCCCTTTCGGTAGAGAGAAGAGCCCAGAAGATCACACAAGGTCGGACAGGTTTCATTTTTGTGAAATTGATCCTGGCTGAGGGATTTGGGAGGAAGGAGGGTCTATAGGAGAAGGGAGTTGGGGTGGGGTGAGAAGCAAGGATAAGATCAAGGGTAAAGGATGGGTTCTATGAGAAAAAAGTAGAGATCTCCAGAACCAAGTAGAAGAGAACCCCAGAACAGGGGTCGGGAAAGCGTGATGGGGGTGCACCCGGGCACTAGAGGGTCAAGAATGGGAAAGGCACTCCGCAGAAAGACTGAGAAGGATGCTGAAGACACAGGAGCAGGTATAAGACCATGGAAGGGGGCCTCTGTAGAAAGACAGGAGGGGTAGGAGACCCTGAGGGCCGAGGATAGGATTCTGGGGGGAAAGCCCTCCTTGGGAGGAGCCAAGAGGAGCTAACTAGAGAGGTGGGTGATGAGGCTCCACACAGGCAAAAATGACACCCTGCTGAGAGGGGTATGGGGAAGATCTAGAAGATGGGGAGTTGGACTCTAGGCCAGCGACCTGACTCACTTTCTTCGCTGAACTTGCACTGCTTTGAATACCTCTTCCCGTTTCAGCACCACGAAGTCGCCGTCGTGGATGCGGTGGTCCCTGGGATGCTGTGGCTGCGGGCCCGACTGCTCCCCAGAACCCTCCATGACGCTCCGCGGGTCCCCAGACTCCGCAGCCTCTCTCCAGCCCCTGCGCCCCGTCACCAGTTCTCAGTGGTGTCCGTAACCAGCTTCAGTTCCCACAAACTGAGAGGACGCTGGACCATCGGACCGGTACCGCCCCCACGTGTTGAGCGCCGCTTCCGCTTTCCGGTCAGAACCACTGGACAGCTTCCGGGAGCCTCCAGTCTTCCCTCCGACCGAACCCATTGTCCGTCCCGCCCCTTCCGTTTTTCCGCTTCTTGGGCGGAAGTTGCGTTATAGTAGCGCTAAAATGGAAATTGGAAAAAGGTTGAACCGCGCTGCATATCTTTCTGCGAGCCTTCGTGGCCATAGTGGAGAAGCGGGTCCCTGAGCTACTCCCGAAGCTCAGACTGAGTCCCGCGTGGGGACGTCAAGAGAGCTGCAGCTGAAGGGAACTGCGGGACTTGGCAGGGGTCACCTGAGATCTTGGAGTCTCCTTTCGGCCCCGCCCTGCTTCTTCCCGAAGGGAAGGGAGAACTAGCCGGGCGGATCCGCTCCTACCCAGGACTCGGTCGGCCCGGGTGGGAAGTAGGACGGCTTTGGGATCGCTATATGCCTGTGAGAACTTAGCCTGAGCAGACGTAAGTGAAGTAGGGTATTTAACGAAGCACAGCAGGCCGACGGGTGGCTCCTTTACTCATTTTCCAGTCATACTACTTGCATTTGTGTTGGAGATTTTACTAGTTATTTTCACCCAGTTATCTCATTAGAGAAAGAAATGCCATGTAGCCTTGTGGAAGGAGCTCTTCAGCTGGGTTGTCTGAAGAGGAAGTTTTGAGCTCAGTACTGCCACCAGACAACTTTGATTTTGATCAATTTCTTTGGCCTGTAGTTTCTTAATGTGTGATGTCTAGATGATTATCAAAGTCCTGTCTTGCCCTAACACTGTGAACTCCCGTAGTTAACTTATTATTTAAATCCCTTCAAAGAAAGATTTAGATACGCGCTCTTTAATGAATTGCACTACTGTATACAGGCATATTCTTTTTATATTTAGGATATGAACTATTTAGGATATGAACTATTTATATTTAGGATATGAACTTTTTAAAAAGACTTTCAGAGTAGTTTTAGGTTTACAGAAAAATTGTACAAGGTGTAAAGAGTTCCCATACATATTCCTCCTCCCAGTATCCCCCTATTTGCCTCCTGCATTAGTGTAATAAATTTATTGCAGTTGATGGGCCAAATGCAATACATTATTATTATCCAAAGTCCATAGTTTACATTAGGATTCACTGTTTGTCCTGTACAGATCCATGAATTTTGACAAATGCGTAATATCATATCCACCTTTACAGTATCACAGTGGTTTCACTGCCCTAAAAATGCCCTGTGCTCCACTTATATGAGTTATTTTAAAACTCACTTTTAAAGGTCACATATTTCAATTTATTGATACTCAGCCAGAAACTATTTTTATGGGTTTAAGTTTAATAAAAATGAGTATCTTGCTATGTACAAAACAAAAAATGTAAAGGCATAATTAGCAAAAATAGTATAACAAATATGGACATACTTTCCAAAAAACTTATCCATTGCAAATAATCCATTTAATCAGTATTGACCTAGAATTAATCTTGCTTCTATTGTTAAGACAGTTATGGAAGTCTCCTGGAAAATTAGCATCTTTCCCATTTGGTCTCCTACAGAGAAAGAAAGGTTGAACCATGTATATATGAGGTCTGTCTGGAAAAAGTCCAGCTATTGTTAATGTAATGAGAAAGGTTTGCCCCATGTCAATGTAACCAGGCAGCGAAGGAGAATGGGCTGGAATGTGCGTGCATGAACAGTGAGGACTTCACTGTACTAGTCAGTGGAGGCAGTAGATGCCATTGAGTGAGCATGTGTACTGTGTGGCCTTTGCATCGAAAATAACTGAGTGAGTAGAGCAATGAAACTGCATCAGATTTTGCATTCAGGTTGAACATTACTCTGTGGTAACTATTTGGATGATTCAGAAAGCCACAGCTATGGGCAAGTGGTGATTGGCAGCTTCATCACAACAATGTACCTGCTCATGCATCATGTCTTGGACAGAGGTTTTTGTCAAAACATAAAATCACCCTGATGACTCAGCTCCCCTGTAGTCCAGATGTAGTGCCCTGTGACTTCTGGCTTCTCCCAAAACTAAAATTACCTTTGAAAGGGGAGAGATTTCAGACTATCAGTTAGATTTAGGAAAATATGATGGGGCAGCTGATGGCAATTGGGAGAACTGTGTAAGGTCCCAAGGGGCCTACTTTGAATGGGACTGAGGTATCATTGTCCTATGTACAATGTTTCTTGTATCTTCTTCAATAAGTGTCTCTATTTTTTATATTGCATGGCTGGATACCTTCTGGACAGACCTTGTATGTATCCTTTCCCACTCCTTTGCTTCCTTAGAACATTCTACCTTGGATGCTTGTGTAAGAATATCCATGTATCTCTAGAAAAAGTGGGTGTGGCACTGTAGGATTGACTATATAAAAAAGCTATAATGATGTATTTGTAGTGTCTCACCGGTCAGAATTATTTTCAGTCAGTGCTGCCCTATAAAAAGTCTCAAAATTCTGCAAACAAGGTGTCTTAATTATCTGTCTTACTCTCTGTTGGAGCTTCTTGAAAACAAGTACAGTACCTTTTATTTTTAGCTTGTGAACATTCAGTATACTTGTTAAACATCTGTGATAGACCTTAAAAAAATGAGGATTAGAAGAGTAACTGCAGATTAGAAGAATAATAGGTTCTTACCACATTGTACAATGCTGCAAACCGGTTGACTATTGTTAAAGTACATTATATTATTTTTCACTTATTTACTAGTGAATGCATTTTTAGGAGCACTATATCTGCTATAATTTTGATGAAGACTTTCCTAATCTCTCTTAGAAGACATGAATGGAGAATTTAGAGGCAGAGGTTTCGGACGAGGAAGATTTCAAAGCTGGAAAAGAGGAAGAGGTGGAGGGAACTTCTCAGGAAAATGGCGAGAAAGAGGATACAAACCTGACTTGAGTAAAACCATAGGAAAAGATGCTTCTGGTAGGGGAGGTCAGTGATTGTTTTTGCTTTTGTTTTTTTCCACGAAGGAATCTATTCATGCCTGGCATACAAAGCAGTTTAACTCAAATTTCAGTCTGTCTTTTACTGATGTTAACCCTATAAGGCAGTTTTTGAATGTTAATATCCAAAACTTCTTATTGAAACCTGCAATTTAGATTCTGTTAATATCATGTCAAGTTCTCATTGTTGGTAGGTAGAGCAAATTGGAAAAAAATGTTTGCTATCTCTACTAACCTAGTTTTCTGTTTTGTTTTTAGAACAAACCTCACAGTCTTTGCTACTACAGTCAACATTAGATCAGTTCATACCATATAAAGGCTGGAAGCTTTATCTCTCTGAAGGTAAAATAGTAGTGCAGAAAGTAACATAAATTATAATTTTTTAACTTGTTTTTGGGTGTTACATCTCATATTACTATAATTCATTTGCTTACTGATATATACCCTCTTCTCTAATACTAGTTCACCCAAAGAAATCATGTTTATGTTTTAAGACTATTATGTTTAGGTTTTATATCAGTGGGGAGCACAGAAGTCACACTAGGTATTTCAAAAGGGGGATTTAATACAGGAAATTGGTTATAAAGATGGAAGACTAAAAGAGCAAAAAGCGAACATTGAGGTAACCCCCCAGATAGTAGTAACTTCAGGATGCAGCAGTCATCCTTATGACTGAGGAAACAAAAGTTCTGAGGTTACCAGAACCTAGGAATCCAAAAGAGCGGCCACAGTGAAACCATTGCATTGACCTCTGAAGGTCACCCTAAAGAGTCGTACTTAGATATCTGAGGTGAATTAAATTGGTGGCTGCTGGTAACTGGTGGAAGAATGGCACAATTGAAGCTTGAAGTTGGAAGCTGGAACTATAGCTATCCTTTGTAGCTGGAGGGATGCTGAGAAGAATTGGAAATAAGAATAGATTATTTTCTTCTTCCCTGCCACCTTCGAGGCTCTAAAGTGCCTCCCGCTGGCAGAACCTATAGCAGTCTGGGAAATTCAGTGTGCGGATCTTGATCATAAGGTCACAGGGTGGAAGATAGAGGGTAAGCTTGGAACCGAGAGATGATAACCAACACAGGTTTCTATAGAAACACAGTTAAGGAATCTCACTTTTGTAATCAAGAACACCAGCTAATGTCATACATCCGTCTGTATAGGTTTGGAGAATTGTCTTTCTGTGCTGTTACAGGATCTGGCTTGTTATGTCTCTTACGAGATAAGAGAGATTGATCAGTGGTTTTTCCTACTGTATCAGTGGTTTTCAGCCTTTGTGCTGCAGCACCCTAGTGTGCTGGAAGAAACTTTAAAACGTGCAATACCTGACTTTAGTCAGAGGCGCTGACCTGTTTTCCCTTAGATTGTCAAATAAAAATTATAACAGCTAACACAACAATAGCTATCCAGTGTATGAATCAAAATTATAGCTATTGTTTTTGGTCAGATCAGCAAAAAATGTGTACAGTATATTTTTTTGGTGTACAGTATATTTTTTTGTGTACCACAGAATTTTAGTAATTAGTTTGTGTGCTTGAGATGGAAAAGGTTGAAAATTGCTGTGTTTTTTTCAGTTATAGTTGACATTAATTTCAGGTGTACAATGTAATGATTTGACATTTATATAACTTGCAGAGTGCTCACCCCATAAGTCTAGTAGACATCTGTCATAAGTATTGGTGCTTTTAGGGCAATACCTGCTGTGTGCATTTCAGATTATGTAAACCTAAATCTAAATTTGTTTCAGAATCTTAGGTAGACATTTTATACCATTTCTTTCTTTTTTCCTTTTTTTAAAAAAATATTTTATTTATTTATTTTTAGAGAGAGGGGAAAGGAAGGAGAAAGAGAGGGAGAGAAACATCAGTGTGTGGTTGCCTCTCATGTGCTCCCTACTGGGAACCTGGCCCACAACCCTGGCATGTGCCCTGACTGGGAATTGAACAGGTGAACCTTTGCTTTGCAGGCCCACACTCAATCCACTGAGCTACACCAGCCAGGGCCATTTCATACCACTTCTTGTCTAAATGTATTCAGAAGGCAAAACAGTAGGAAAAAGTCATCTGCCGACTGTCT